CATATTCTTGTAGCTTACCTCGAGAGCTTTTCAAAACGCTATAATAAAGTATTTTTTCATTAAGTACTTTTTGAGTTTTTTTATATTTTAATCTGACATATTTTGATATAAAAATTAAAATATCTCGTAAAATATTTAGTTTTCGATAATTTTACCGTAATACTTTTATGTACAGAATAATGAGACAAATCAATTAGTGTAAAGAAAAAAACAAATAATTGTTTTAAAAAATATATTGTAAATAATTACATACTTTTTCTTAAAAACAATGATTTTCTTTATACTAATTGATTTGTCTCTTTATTCTGTACATAAAAGTATTACGGTAAGATTATCGAAAACTAAATATTTTATGAGATATTTTATATTTTATGTCAAAATATGTCAAAGTAAGATATAAAATAACTCGAAAAATACTTAATGAGAAAATACTTTATTATAGAGTTTTGAAAAGAAGGGCTCTAAGAACATGCAATAAAAAATAAAGGGTTTCATTTAAAAATTTCAAGATGACCTTGCCCTGACCTTGGTAACGCAACCCAAGATCAAACTGATAAGATCAGTAAATAGATCTTTTTAAATCCTACAACTTTTATCTGAAACATTTTTTTATAAAACTTTTATAAAGTTTTTTTCATATTTTTCGAGATATTGAGGTGCTGACCTTTTTTACACCCTGTATAATAAGATATATTTCACATGTAGAGACTTTATATTTAGAATGGAAAGATTTTTTTTACAGTTAAAGGAGTGTATATTATATAAAATAATTTTCTTTCTTTTGGAGATATTTAAACAAATTATCTTAGTCCCTTATATTTTTATACATATTTTTCATGCACTGTGATTTAAAACGATATAGTTACATTCCATGCTGATATACTGAGATCATCATTAATTTATCTAATAGGGATCACCTTGTGCGCTGCTTTCATAAAGCTTGATCCTACATACATAAATGCTTGTATATGTTCTTGCTTGAGCGTCTCTTTTCCTGCTTTCTTTTAACTGATTAGCTCTTGTGGATCTATTCTGTTAATTAAAAAATGTAACACTATTACCTTATATAAACGTCTTGGTTTCGTGTGGAAACGTGACTAGGTATATGTAGTGGTGGCGATGGTTTAACGGTTCCTGTAAGTTCTCCTCGCGGGAAAGATACGACTCCTATAGCAACACCGGTTCCAGGCCCGGATTCTTATTCCTCTCCCTCTCCGCCCGTAGCTGTCGCAAAGAGAGGAAAAACATTGCAACAGACGCAAGTACCCGCTAGTGCTCGTGCGAGTATCGTTTTCCCTTTACTTACCAGCAGTGGACTATTCGGTCAAACACGAGAAGCGAATAATATAAGTAAGTGGGGACAGAGAACTGTTTAATATTCTTTATAATTAGTAATTAACATTAAGTCAATTTTACCTCTAGTAAATTGACTTGTTTGGAATAATAACGGCATTAGTAATTAGATAATAATGACAATTAAACTATATGTTATGTGTATATGACCTCATCTTTTAAATATAATTCATTTTATCATGAAAAAATTTAGGGATACTTACTTTTATATTTTTTTTTTTTTTACTAATGTTTCTGAAATACCGATTCCCTTTTGAAAATTTTGAGAATTCCTATCATTGCTGTATCATTATTTATCGCTTGTAGCTGATCTTTTGATTATTATTATTAATAATATCATATCTCTAAAGTTGTATTTATTATAATTAATGCATTATTTTTATATCAGGCTATGGAACATTGAGGGAAGAGAAGACCCCGCAAATTCATATTTCGCATTCGCATCAGCTTGGCTCCAATCCTAGCATTTATTCTGGAGGCGTGGGTCATGGTAGTCAACATAGCACTGGAAGCCTAGAACAAGTAACATCTCCCACAAATCATTCTACTAAACCTATAAATACAGGAGAAGATTTGTACAGCTGGATGGCAAAGCAGCAAGAATTTATAAAAGATAATGACAAAGGAAATTTAAAGGGAAATTGGGTAAGTATTTAATATATATATTATTTTACTAATTTAATGTGTGTATATGTATATTATTATACTATATAGTCGTATTATACTATATAGTACGTGTTATTAAACTATTGTATATAATTGTATTATACTGTACAGGCCGTGCCAGGGTTTACCCGACAAACTGCGGGACAATATTCTACAAGTGGAAATAAGAAAAAAAATATATGAAGTTTAGCTAGAAATGTTTTATTACAAAGTTATAAACAAATATTGAAATAGAACATGAAATAGGTAACAACGGATTTTCCATTGTGCAGAATCAGTGTATTCCTCATTTGAAAACAGATTTGGCATTTTGATAGTAATTGCTAATTCACACGATTGAAATCTAACAACTATTGATGTAAAAGTAGCAATATTGAATCTTTTAAAAATAGTAAACACGATATGAATACACAAATAAGATAAACACGTTCGACCTTTCATATTCTGCATTAAAGACGTTCGACGTTTCATACTCTGCACAATGGAAAATCCGTGGTTACCTATTTCATGTTCCGTTTCAATATTTGCTTATAACTTTGTAATTAAAGCATTTCTCTAACCAAACTTCATATAATATTTTTTCTTATTTTCACTTGTAGAATATCCTCCCACAATTCATCGGGTAAACCTGGGTCATCCTGTACATTTTTATTATTATTATACATGTTATAATATGAATTATTATATTGTAACGGTACACCATTCCTGATACCGCGAATGAGCTCGTCGATGCTAGGATTCGGGAGAAGAGAAATCCGGTTGCTATGCCCTGGTCTGGTTTAACACTTGGTTTATTCCTCAGTAAACATACAGACTGTCATATACAAGGTGCTGTGGTCGCGGATACGCTTAAAGGTCACGGTATATACAAAATGCGACTCTTATAGCTATAGTATTTATAAGGAGTGGCGCACGGGCACGCAGTACCAAAATTCAGTAGGGCCCAGATGGCTGCAGGATCCGGACTTGGAGATGTGCGGTTGGGGGTTGTAGATTATATAGAATCAGGCGATGGCCTGACGTTCCTGGCCCGTTTTGCATTTTCCTTCGGCGGATGGCAGTCACGAGATAGCACATTGTCTTTTCCGCAGCGCGAGCAAAACTTTTTGGGTGGACACTTACAGTCTTGGCGGGTATGTCCTCTCTGCTTGCAACGCCAACAGCACTCGTCTCGGCTGTACGCGGTGACGGGCTTATCGTTAGTGTCTAGCGGTGATTCGGGACAGCATTCCTTTCGGTGACGGTTGATTGCTTCGAACTGAGCTGCCTGCGTGCTCAAGTCGTCCATGCTTGTGGTGTCGGTGAATCGGACGTAGAACTTGTACTCCGGGTTCATATTCTCGTACAGTTGTTCTGCCTGGTGTTGAGCGGAGTAGCCCCCGGCCCGGTGCATCATGATGAGCACCGCGGTGGCGTATACCTGGAACGGCTCGTTCGGTTGCTGATAGCGGCTCTGTATGTCTCGCCTCAACTGGTGCTGATATCTCGGGGGTAGGGAGTGAGCCTTGAAGTTGTTGCAAAAGTCATCCCAGGTGGTCCAAGTCTCACGATTATTTCTGTACCATAGGAGCGCGTTGCCCTGCAGCAGTAAAGGAACTTTGTAATTAAAGCATTTCTCTAACCAAACTTCATATAATATTTTTTCTTATTTTCACTTGTAGAATATCCTCCCACAATTCATCGGGTAAACCTGGGTCATCCTGTACATTTTTATTATTATTATACATGTTATAATATGAATTATTATATTGTAACGGTACACCATTCCTGATACCGCGAATGAGCTCGTCGATGCTAGGATTCGGGAGAAGAGAAATCCGGTTGCTATGCCCTGGTCTGGTTTAACACTTGGTTTATTCCTCAGTAAACATACAGACTGTCATATACAAGGTGCTGTGGTCGCGGATACGCTTAAAGGTCACGGTATATACAAAATGCGACTCTTATAGCTATAGTATTTATAAGGAGTGGCGCACGGGCACGCAGTACCAAAATTCAGTAGGGCCCAGATGGCTGCAGGATCCGGACTTGGAGATGTGCGGTTGGGGGTTGTAGATTATATAGAATCAGGCGATGGCCTGACGTTCCTGGCCCGTTTCGCATTTTCCTTCGGCGGATGGCAGTCACGAGATAGCACATTGTCTTTTCCGCAGCGCGAGCAAAACTTTTTGGGTGGACACTTACAGTCTTGGCGGGTATGTCCTCTCTGCTTGCAACGCCAACAGCACTCGTCTCGGCTGTACGCGGTGACGGGCTTATCGTTAGTGTCTAGCGGTGATTCGGGACAGCATTCCTTTCGGTGACGGTTGATTGCTTCGAACTGAGCTGCCTGCGTGCTCAAGTCGTCCATGCTTGTGGTGTCGGTGAATCGGACGTAGAACTTGTACTCCGGGTTCATATTCTCGTACAGTTGTTCTGCCTGGTGTTGAGCGGAGTAGCCCCCGGCCCGGTGCATCATGATGAGCACCGCGGTGGCGTATACCTGGAACGGCTCGTTCGGTTGCTGATAGCGGCTCTGTATGTCTCGCCTCAACTGGTGCTGATATCTCGGGGGTAGGGAGTGAGCCTTGAAGTTGTTGCAAAAGTCATCCCAGGTGGTCCAAGTCTCACGATTATTTCTGTACCATAGGAGCGCGTTGCCCTGCAGCAGTAAAGGGAGGAGCCCCAGGAGCAATAGGTCTTTGTTGTAGCCATACTTGTGATGTAGCTCCTCTGTTTGCTCCAGGAAAGTAAGTGGATCTTTTCCGTTGAAGTGATGGTCCTGACGGCCCCACTTTCGGATCTGGTTCATTATCTTGGCATGTTTTAAGAGACCGGGCAGAACCGGTGGATCTCTTGAGATTTCTTCCTCAGATCTCGACATGTTGTCGGCTTCCATGTTAGTCGTCTCGAAAGTGGTAAGATGTCTAGCGGTAAATTGGCGTAATCGCTATCACAGGACGTCTAAGCTCCCGGAGCTATCGATCCAGATGCGTTGTTTCAGATGGTGGATCGCCTGATCTAATCGGATTCGTCGTAGGTTTCCGGTAGAAAAGTCTTAGTAATTCCGGCAGGATTCAGAATGGAAGTGCCGATTCGTCGGCCGAGCCGGCTTTTATATCTAACCGGTACGTATCGGCCAGTCTCCCACTCGCGCTACAACGCGTGGTGGGATGGCGAGAGGTGCGAGCATTTAGAGGCGCCATGTGTTATTGGTATACTAGGGGTGTACCGTTGCAATATTATACTATATAGTCTTCCTATTAAAATATGTAAGAGATGTATTTGTAGGAATGTAAAGATTTATAAGTATATGTTGAAAAATTATATGTGTGTTTACTTTCATGTTCATTTCCTTGCTTACATAGGTCTTTCGTACAGAGCAAAAGCCTATGAAGGTATATTTCAAAATTTTGCGTTATTTGATATTCTATAATATGGATACGTTGCTTTAATGCGAGATTAAACTAAAAGTATTTTTACTCCCTCTTTTTTCTTTTGCAGGACTCAAAAATCAACACTATGACTACAGATGACACTGAAGATTCAGATGTACAAAGCGGTGCTTTTCTATATCCAATGAAAGATTCTCTTAGATTATTAGACGCACATCTGATATTTGAGCCACTTCTGTCATCTTTATCGGTTATGCCGCAACAGATGTTATCAGTTATTGGATCAGGAAATGTAAATAACGTATCTTCCTTAGACTCGTTAGGCTCAAATTTGTCTCTTGTAGGCAGTATGGATACCATGCGCATTGATATAGTTGTGAGCGAATTTGGAAAAGTTACAGACAAAAAGAAAAGTAAGTTTACAAAATTATTAAATTGCGGATATAAAGGTGTGTGAGGGATATATTGTTTTTTTTTTTTATTTTATATAGATAACAAGTATCAGCCGAGAAAAGGAAGTAATTCGAAATTTTATCTCGATATACCACCGGAGACGCCAGCGTTTCTATGCGAAAGAATTGGCGTAGATATTGATGTGAAAAAAATGGCCGATATGACGGTGGACGATATGATACAGAAACAAAATGTTTTATACATATCAAGGGGTCAATTGAAGAAGCATACCAGCACGGTGGTTAATATTAGTCTAAATATCCGGTACATAAGCCAGCAAGTGAATATGCCTCTTCTCAGATTATTGCATCAGATAAGTAACATGTATCAGAACGTTAAGGAGACGCAAATGGAATTGAAAGAGCAACAGCCAGAGGGGAAACAAAGCGCTAATATAATCGTCAACGATACCGCCGCGAAGAACGGCTCATCGTCGAGTAAGCGTATTTTTATTAGTCATCCAAAATAAAGTTGTATCTATGCGTATAATAAAAAATTTAATATTTTGTTTCCAGCATCTGATTTGCAAGAACAATTTCTCATTAATGGCAAAAAAATGGAGGCGCCACTGTTACGTAGTAGTTTCATTGAGCCCAACCAACCGAAAATATTACCAGGTACGACTGTGCAACGATCGCGGCCGCAGAGTTTCGCGCAAAAATTACGAAGCACCGGAAAAAGCGTGAAGGGATACATCAATTTGAGCGAGGGTGTTATTACGCCCAGTTTCGGAGCAAGTCCTAGCGGATCGAATTTAGATAAATGCACGGATGTGACATGTAAGGATAGCGCGCACTTGACGCCACGATGCTGGAAAACTATATATTACCTTCTTGATTTGTACGCAACTCGTCCAGAGACTAAAACTATTACCCATCGGTTTTCGATACCGGCGGATGCGGCGGAACATTGTAAGAGTGGTAGAAAGTACGAGATCTTGAACGAGACCAAGGATATTGATATTGAGAAGGGATTGAATGCGGAGAATAGTTCAACACCCGTTCCTCCATCGAGAGAATTGAGTGAGTGTGTCAAAAATTCTTTTTTTTTTATATACCAGGATGTCTACGCCCTGGAAAAACATGGAAGATTTGGAATTCTCAGAGATTTTTTTTTTATACCTGGGAAAATCAGGGAATTCTCATGGAATTTTATTGGGACTCAGAGAATTATTTTTTTTAATTCATTCTTTCGCAAAGCAGTCGGTAAGCCAAGAGAACTTCGTGTTTAAAATATATTATAAATATATATCTATCTCTGTTTATTTATTCAGTTTCTTAACAAAATATTGAATATACAATACATATTCTTTATTGTAGTTTTTAGTGACAAAAAAATGAAAATGTTATGCAAGTGAAAAATGTTTATCTTACGAAAGCTATTCAGTTTTTTAAGTATATTTGCAAATCTAACACTTGAAACTTGAAGAGGTTCTGTATTTTTTATGAGTGAAAAGCATTAGAAAACATGATACAATAAAACGATTTATTTTAAAAAGTTGCATAAAAAAATCTTTAAAATATTTTTTTATCTAAAATTTTCAACAAAAATACCTGGAACATCAAGGAATTTACAGGGAATCTTTTTACGATTTGAGTAGACACTCTGGATACACTCTTTATCTTTTTTTCAGCTTCGATATGATAATCAAATGTCATAATTGCAGATATTGTAACGGGTGAGAGAACGAGATTGATTATTTTTGGCGTCGCGCGAATCCATAGAACCAGATTATTAGCTACCTTAAGTGGCTTGAAGCTCGAAGCGGAGATCACTAGTCTACATGCTAGTTTGACTTGCCGCAAGAAATCGCGACCCGCGAGTTTAGAATGCAGTATGACCGGACAAATCGGGAGAACTATGATTGTTTTACTGGAGGGCGTTGCCCCCAGTCAACAGACAGTCGTAAAAGTCACTGTTGGGAAATCTCAGGCTCTATATTCCAGCATCACGAGGCGTCAAAAGGATAAGAATAGCGGTCTACTGACCATCGGTGCTGTTAATATCGATATACCTCAGCATCCCGTAGCCTTGCACGGAATGATGACAAGAGGTAGCAAGCAATTGTCGTCAACACTACAGGTAGATATCAACCTTATCTAGCTCGTTATTTAGAGAAATATATGTGAAAAAAGAGAAATATATATCTCTATGTAGGAACTAAGAGTTACTCGAACATCGTCAAGAATGTCGCGAGGACAGCAACAAGATGACGTGGATGCCGCTCCGGGCAGTCCGCATCATTATGCTCCGGCTCCATCAATGGACATGGAAAAAGAAAAACCGCAGACTGTGTCCAGTCTTTTGGAGCCTATTGTCATGCAATTCCACATAATACTTCAAAGCCTGAGCATAACTGCGGCACTATTACCATCTCTTCAAGCGCAGTACAAGATGGACCAGGTAAATAGTTCCGGTATAACAGGCAGCAAGGCTAAATTTACCATAGACTTGCCCCATCATAATCTGAGTTTTACGACAAAGCTGCAAGTAACTGAAGCTAATCTACCATCCGAAGCTAGTATTGAATTACCTAAAGTGCACGTTTCGGCCGAATACGTTCAAGACGGAACTGGTAACTTGAACGATAGTAAATTAGCAGGTAAATAAATTGTATGTGTGTGTTTTTCTTAAATTTTAATAATCGTATTTTTTAACAAAATTTCCCGACCACTGTTTCATAGACGGTGTCGTGTTGAGGCAAGGTAGCTACTTAAGCGCAACCGCAGATATTGGAATATTTGAGCATTCCTTAACGACGGATCTCTTAAATCATTTAGTATTTGTACAAAAAGTATTTATGAAAGAAGTAAACGAGGTGGTGCAAAAGGTTTATGGGGGTGAAAAGCCAGTGCCATTGTGGTTCGAAGACGACGAATCGACCAACTCTACTTTGAAACGAATTTTATTCTCGCTGATTATACGAATTAAAGTAAGAAGAATCTTTTGAGTTTTTTTTTTATATTTATTGGTAATTAAAATCGTGAACCTATTATTAATTTGTAGCAGTCTTTTTGATTAAGTATCAAAAAATACATACAGGGTGAGGAAAAAGTATCAGACCGATAAAATATCTCGAAAACAACGCATTTAAGAAAAAATGTTATATACAAAAGTTGTAGAGTTTTAAGTGTTGTATTAAGTAGCAATATTAGAGTGTGACTTTAAGTAACATTGTTAAGGCGTAAAAATCACTTTCGGATAATACTAATGCTGGCGGTACTGTACCTTTCAAGCCTTATAACTTGGAAAATACTTAATGGAAAGCTACTTTATTATAGTGTTTTGAAAAACTTTTAAGGTACAAGAATATCGAATAAAAAATGGAGGTTTCCATTTAAAATTGATCTTCAGATCTCCTCCATAACTGTGCTCAAGGTCAAATTGGTATCACCGTTTGATGCATTTGTTGAAACTTTTGTACAACTTTTGTATATAACATTTTTTTTTCTCAGATGCCTTGTTTTGAGATATTTTACCGGTCCGATACTTTTTCTTCACTTTGTACATATGTATATAAAAAGAGAGAATGTTATTTTTTTACAGAGGATTCAATTGACCGCAACAACTCCGACAAACTCGGCGGTGCGGCTAGAAACCGGTGCGGTCGAATTTCAATTATCCAACAGAGTGCAAAATGTTTCTGGAGCTACTCAACCTAATCCCTACATGAAATTATTCGGCAAAGCTCAAGTTGATATTAACTTGAGTCTGGGACAATTGTTGAAAAATGTCCTGTTTGAAGAGGTGGAGCCCGAATTTCAGCAGTTTGCTTTCTTCAATACTAGAGTGGGACTGCGAAATGCATTTCAAGAAGAGATGGCGCAAGATGAGGACAAGGAAGTGGTTTTAATTACTCTTAAACGTCCACTGATCTATATACAACCGATGGCCATCGATAAAGCTATACTCGTTTGGTTAAATTACAAAAATGCATATGAGTATTGGAACGAAAAGAGATCTAATTTAAATAAAGAGGTATTAACCGCCACTCAACAAGTATTTGAGAAGGTTCCATTCGGACAACTGACAAGTCAGCTCAGTGCGCCTCATCTTGGCACATTGTTTTTACAATTAACAGTTGATGATATGGGTATCTGTTTGCCACTTAATCCTTTACCGCCAAATAATTGGAGATTAAACAGAGGTCTTTATGACGGAGAATCGCGAGGAGCTGTTGTAGTGACGCTGGAAAACACAAGCATATCCGCATGTAGTAGCGGTAGTCTAGTTAGTAAAGGAAGGTATGTGTTTACATATGTATGTCTACAGCTTTTTATTCTTATAATATATAGCCTCACACCCATATTTACATATATAAAATTATTTTTTATGTATGTTTTCAAACTACATCTTTTGTCATTTGTAGGTTTGTAGGATTATGTTTGAGATTTGCGGAAGATTTTGAAACTTCTTTGGACGATTGGAAGCCAGATATGACTGATAGCAATATAATGAATTTATGTGTTGTATCAGAAGGCACTTACGAAGTATGTAGTAGAACTATCGCGCAGAAACAAGACAAGTCTGGTGTGTAATCCTTGCATTTTTTTTATAAAATTGATATTTTAGAAACATATATATTATTTTGCGAATATATAATTAATTTTTTCTAGATAATGCCAAGTGGATCTTGAATGTTCAATGGCAAATGGAAGGAGTTGATATTCATCTTGATGTCAGTGTAGGACAACAGCTGTCGGCTCTTGGACATACATTAACAATGTTAACTGGTTCTGAAGAAGAAGATGATATTCACATTCCCCCGGATTATGATAGCGACGATGGAGATCAACCGGAAAATAGCACTAGCCAGGTTAAAAAAAAAGTATGGTTTAATTAATTTTATTTTTTGCCATCTTTATACGCGCAACTTTTGTATTATATACATGTATTTTAAAGTAAGTAATGTAGAGTGAACGAAATGTCATATAAAATAGAAATAAGTAAGTTTATATGTTTATTTCGCTTTGTGATATAAATGGGTAAATTTTGATTTCAATGCATTTATTTCATATCCCGCGTATATTTAATGAAATATACGCATATTTCATTAAATATACGCGGGAAATTTATAAATTTAAATAATTATAAATTTGTAAATTTAATAAATTTAACAAATTTATTAAATTTATACAAAGTATGGCTAAAAATAATTGGACTGATTTCTTTTAATTGTGTATTTTGTGCGAGAGTCAACTATCAACAAATCGTATTATTTTATTTACATTTAGTGAGATATTTTTATACAGATTGATAATGAGATGAAATAATACACACACACACACACACACATACACATGCACGCATACGCACGCACACGCGCGCGCGCACACACACACACAGACACACACACACACACACAGCACACACACATAGACACACAGACATAGACACATACACATAGCAGACACACACACAAACACAAAGTTAATAATGAAATTGATATACAAACATTAATATACAGGGTGTCTCATTTTAAAAGTTCCACCCTCATAACTTTTCAGGATCAACGTTTGAAGGAAAATGTGTGAAATAAAAGTTGTATGGTATCGAGGAGGAAATCTTGTGAACATTTTTTTTAGGTGGAGGCGCTTAGGAGATTTAAAAGTCATCTTCATTTTTTTAAATGGAACCCCTTTTTAGAAAAATATATAATAAAGAGAGAGTATAAAATATAATTATTTAAAAAATATGTTTATTTTTGTGTAAATTCACATTTACATTAAAGAAATAAATCTCAAGATTGCAATATTTTATTATTTCAAGATCTCAGAATTACACCGCAGTGTGATATCTTATTTAGAGCTAAAATTGTTTGTAATTACAGGAAAGCATATTAATGAAAAAATCGAAAAATTGGACGGATAGTCTACCAGCATTTATTTTCGATCCCACACTTGATGCAAAGAAGAGATCGCAATTGATAGAAAAGGAAATGAACGAACAAGCCAAGATTATAAATGATTTGCGATCATTAGGCGCTTCTCACGGAACAATCGAGCAAGAAATGAAACGTCTACATGAATTAGAAGCAATGGTATTTAAAGATTTTAGAAGGTATGTTGTAAAATTATTATTATTATTTTTTTTATATGTTTTGGCTTCTAAAATTTATTTTCCAGAGATATGATCCAAAAGTTAAGGAGGCAATCGGTTAAAGCTTCTGGTATCAAGGGTAAATTAGGTCTCGGTAGTAAACCGAATACGTATCGTTCGAGATCATTTATTGTACCTTCGCCTACACCAGAACATCACTTAGAAAGCCCGGAAGATATTAATACGGAAATTAATTCAGCAAATTCGGCTAGTTATGAAAGTAGCCCTAGAAGCGGTCCCAGTCGGTTTGCATTTTACATGTCTAATTAAATATCGTTATTCTTTAAAGCACTTTCCAATTGAATTTTTTCAAAAATAATAAGTTTTTAACTTCAGTAAACTTTTACGAATTATAAGTTTTTTTATTTAATTAACAATGATTATCACAGATCAGCTTCCTTGCGTGTAAAAGGACTTGGTGGACCACGAGTTACCTTTAGTGATACACATACAATGGGAAGGTATGTCTGAAGTTACATTAGCAATGAAAAAAAAAGTATGTGTAAAATAAATATCTACTTTTATCAGGCAATCATCTTTACCAAGCGCTAGTTCTGATTTGAGTTTACCGGAAGGGGAATTGGAATGGCCAGAGACTATCGAAATAGAAGGAGAACGAGTTGAATTAAGAAAGAAAAATAGAGATACTAGTTGTACATCTAGTTATGATAGTATGGAGGGAAAGTATGTATTCTCAATAATTGCAAAATATATGTGTATGAAATACATTAGGCTTATACCATTTCTTTTTAGTGCACCGTTGCTCGATTCATTTGGAAAAGAACAAGCTTCATCGACGTCGTCTCCATACATTACTTCCCAGAAAACTCAAGAACCAAATATAGACTTTGAGCTCGATGTCAAAGTTTTAATTAATAGCGGGAAATGTGTATTGCATACAAAAGATCCAGGAAAGGAAGACGAAATTAAATTGTAAATATTTATAACATTGCATTTTTTAACTCGCTTTCTTAATTATATAATATTTTCCCATATCTAATATCTTTCTTAATAATTAATATAATTTTTATGTGTAATAAAAATAATAATATACATTATATAAATAATATAATAATTATATATAGTATATGTATGTATATGTGTATGTATAAATAAAAATAATAATTTTTGTGTAATATAAATTCTCTTTCTGTTTTACAGCTTGAGTAGAATGAAGAAAGAAAGATCGTGTTCCGGTGGTATGTTCGAATTTCAATCTGGCAGTCCCAATAGTAGCAGAAAACACTTGAATAGTAAAGAGAAGCCATCGACGACTAGCACATCTCGATTGAGATATTTGCAGCATAATGTAAATGTGCCTTTGGTAGATTTAACAATTTTTCATATCCCTGGTTTAGATGTTAAGGTAAGATTTAAGATTTTACGTCTGAAATATTTTTCTCTAAAATGCAATGTTTACGAGATATTTGAGTGTATCCAGACTTTCGACACACCCTGTATATCTGCGATTTATCGCGATTTTTCAAACAGCAGATATAAAGAGAGCATTTTTTTTTGTAGGTTCATTATGAATCCAAAACTCTTCCAGAGGAACCATTATCTCCCCGCGTATCTACTGAAAATAGTCTGTTGAATCCAATTACGATGACAATGCTCAGAAAATCTAGTACTAAAAAAGCGAGTCTGTTTGCTTGGATGACTCTTCAAAGCATTCCAGAGGAAACTATCATTAGTCCTCATATTCTTGAATTTCTAGAGCAAACTTTAGAGCCAATTCCAAGCAAGAATAACTTCCAGAGTAACGCGCAAACGAATGTTAGCTTTCTACTGGAAAATACAGAAAACACATCATGGGCTGCCACGGCTGCGAATAGCAATTACGTTTATGCCAGTTTCCCCGTTGACGTTATAGTATATTTTCATATGCAGCCATCTACGTTTAGGTAAAGGAAAAATCGCGATATATAAGTGTTAAAAGAGAAATTCAACGTTTGTTAATAAATAATAATTTTTGTTGTAGATTCTCGTGTTTACCAGTTTCACGAGTAGAATGTATGCTGCAGTTGCCATCCCTCGATATTGTGTTCTCGTCGAAACGGGCCGAGGAAGAACTAATAGAATTTCGGGAATTTAAATCTCATACAACGGGAAAAGAAACGGGCTCAGCCATCGGTGGATTATCCGTCACGGGTTGTTTAGCGGATTTTTCTGTTTATATCTTTCATCCCTACGGTGGCGGGAAGAAGACAGGGCTAAAAGAAGCACAATGGTCGCCCTTGTCGGATAGCGAGAGGAAAGATTCATTGAGTATAAATGTTGAATTCGTTAAATTTCATTTATCGAGAAGCAGAAAACAAAACTTTCAAAGCGAACAACTCAAAAAGCTTTCGGATACTAGCCGTGCTGTCATACGATTCTCAAGTATGTATATAAATATGTCAAGATGTCGAGCACATGTATACCAATTTATCTAGATAAACTCTCGTGCAACAAGTTTTCCAAACATTAATCTTTTTCAGCAATTATCGATATTGGATCTGCCTCATTTAAATATGACATGCGTCGATTAACAGAAATTCTGGCTTTTCCAAAGGCATGGTATAGACGCAGCATAGTAAGACGCTTGTTTTTGGGAGATTTAAGCTCAGGTATCGCATACTCAGAAGGGGATGGGAGTTTTCCGTTAAATCAGGAAGAGGCGGTTATGGGTAGCTCATTGTTGAAGCATTACGATAGACACACATGCGATCCGTTATCAAAAAGCGCACCTGAAAGAAGTCCTGTATTAAATAGAGAAAAATTGAAGTTAAGTTTGGAGAACGATATGCCAAGACCCGCGCGATTAAAAGGTATTTACAGTAGTGCATTTTATGCAACTAAAAAAATTAATGAAACGCTTGAAGCTTGTACAAATAAATAATTACATCTTTGTAACAGATATCGGCAGAGCATGGAGCTTTACCACGGACAAGCAAATATCGTCGGAGATTAAATTGAGAGAATCCGCGTGGGAGACATTGGTGTTATTCGCGGTGAATTTTACGCGTTTAAACGTGCATATGAATATGGGTAACGTAATGGGCAATGTTAGCTGGATGACAAAAGATTTCAGATCGGATGGTAGACTGTCTATCGGCAGCACGGGACATAAAAATTTATACATAGGCATCGGTCTAGGAGGATCGAGTCTAGATGCGAAAGGTGGTATAGTTGGTGGGACAATCGAATTGAGTAGAATCGATACTTATAGTGAGTTTTTTTCTAATAAAATTAAGTTATTTAATACATAGGGTGTTTTAGAAACTCTGTTACAAACTTTGAGGAGTGGTAGAACTCGGTGAAAGCATCGTTTTTTTTATTAAGGAACCCCTGTGTCCTCCGACGCGTCTTGAAATCCTGGCCTGTCGCTTGGCCCAATGCTCTCCTGACTTCAACCTTCTTGATTTTTACTTCTGGCATGTCAAAAGTACTGTGTATGTTACCCTTGTTGACACCAGGGAGAAACTGATTAACTAGATCAATGAAGCTCTTCACCAAATCAAGAACAACCCTGTCATTTTTGAAAATGTAAGGCCGTCAACGTCGCGCAGATGTAATAAGTGCAATGAAATAGGGGAAAGACACTTTAAACATTTTTTTGTAGTGTTGTTGGCTGAGGTCTGTGCCCCTCACCGTTGGGTTGCCTAGGCGCTAGGATTCCAAGACGCGTATCTCTTTAAGGACGCGTCGGAGAACGAGGGTTGCTTAATAAAAAATGATGCTTTCACTGATTCCTATCACCCCTCAAAGTTTGTAATAGACATTCTGAAACACCCTGTATATCAGAGTTGTGCTGTAGATTCCAAAACTATGTTTACGTATTGTCTACATGATATTTACATAGACTTTTTTTATGTAAACATGTGAACTATGTGAACTATTATAAATTAAATGTCATAAAATATAAAAAAGATATATATTACAAAATAATGTTAATATACAGGGTGTCCCAAAGCATCCTTGACAACGCTCGTGAGCAAGTAGAGCACAGTAAACTGAACAGAAAAGTCCTGTACCATTTTTTTCTATAATGCTTAATAAAGGAGTTATTAGTGAGTAAAGTCTGGCCAATCAGCGTCGACCTTTAGCCGCGCGCCTGGTAGTGTGCGTGAGCGCTCCGTCGTTACGGCAACGCACACTAACAGACGGGCGGCTCACTGACGTATGTCCGGCTAAAAGTCGGCGCAGATTGACCAGACTTTACTCAATAATAACTCCTTTATTAAGCGTTATAGAAAAAAATGGTACAGGACTTTTCTGTTCAGTTTAATGTACTCTACCTGCTCATGAGCGTTGTCAAGGGTGCTTTGGGACACCCTGTATAATTTTTTAAAAATAAATTTTATATTAAGTTATAATTACCTAAATATCTATATAATATGACATATCTATTTACTTTCTTTATCAATATGAAATCCGATTTGTAAAATCTTTTGACATGTTAAATATAATTTATATTGTTTACGCGTAGATGTAGGCTATTATATTTTATGCGTAAATGCCCAACTCTAATATGCATTGATAAGTTATTATAGAATTTAATCAATTAATTTTTTATATGTATCTCATATAGTACACATTCGAGAAGAACCTGGAATAGAGCCTGATCATACAGTAGGATTGAAATTATTTGCATTAGAATTACGATTGGATTATATGGGAACAAGTGTGTTAATGTCTCGAGTGTCTTCGTTGGACGTTACTCTCAGAGATGAATGGAAAATTAATCGTAGCAATAACGGTGATGCTTTCATGCCAACACGAAGGTATATATATGTTTGAATTTATTTAAATCAAATTGTCCTTAATGTTATATTGTTATATAACAACGTATTAAGATATAAAAGAATAAAGAAATGTTAATATGTACAGGCCTGCAATTATTTTTATGCACGGTGATCTGGGTTGGGATCAATTACAAATCATGATCAGTAAATCAACAACGGCCGACTTACTGAAAATGTTTTACAAATTGGATGAGTTCTTTAGTCAACAATTTAAGAGTAGTAAACGCGTCTTTAGCTCGTTGCAACCAAAACATCAAAGGATAAATAACAGCAGTTTTAAGAAGAGGCAACAGAAGAAGAGATCCGATGGTAAATAAAAACAGCTAGAATCGTCACTCGCTTCATGATAAAGATGTACGATACTAATTAAAATTATTATAGGAGGTCCATGGAATTTAAACCAGAGTGCGATATCAGACGCTAGACATCATAGACACTGGCAAAGAGTATTAGCCCAAGTAGCCGGTCTTCAATTAGGAAGCTTAAAATTTTCTTTGCCATCAACTGGTACCGTCCTCGGCGGTACGATGGAACTTCATGGATGTAATATTAGCTTGGCATGTTTTCATGGAATTAATTTCAAAAGCAAGAGTTGGGCTATATTCTCGCTGAAAGAGCCTTGTATAAGTTTTGCTACGGAAGCCCAAGAAATACCAAGTGTTGAAAGTAAATGGATATTAAATATTCCGAGCGCGTATTTTTTTATAACATGCCAATTTCTTAAATTTTTACCTTTTTCTCCTTCTTTATAGCGCCCAACACATACGATGTTCACGTTGTACAAACGTTGACCATCAGTCTAGGTCACCAGCAGGAACAACACGCGAGACATCATTCCATGGCAACTGTCTGTAGATTAAGTCGAAGTGTTTTATTTCCGCCGCAATTTAAATCTTTACAAGAATGGTTTCATTATGCATTTGCTAGTAGTGAGATCGATGGTATGTATTAAATTCGTACGAAAGTTTATTTTATTTATCCCTTTACTTCTGTAACATTATATACTACTCGTTTTTGTTTGTCCTTTTCATTGTATAGCGGTAGATAGATTTCCATGCGTCGAGAGGGATAAGATAGAAAATACATTGGTGGACGGTAATAACGCGTCGCGTGGAAGAAGTACGTCCGCAACATCTGGCAAGCTGCAGGAACATTCGCACACGCGAGAGGTGATATTTGCTTTGCCTTCGTTGCAGTTGCATTTGAAAACTGAACATTTACAAACCGCCAGAACGCCAGATGTTATAGGTATGTAAATCGATTTTTCAAACAATTGCTTCATAATTATTTCATCTGTGTAATCAACATGCATCTGTATAATCTATCATTTGCCCTTACATATAAAGCGATTGGTGTGCAACAATTTCCTATGAGATATGAAAATAAGAGATAAACACACACATACACAATGACATACGATAGACGTGTTAATTACTTACAGTAATTCTATTTGGAAATGTAAATTAAATTATGTATATCGCGTCAAGTTCTTTTTTGTTTAATTATTTTAAATATACAAATCATAGCATTACATATTCAATGCGCGAATTATTCTGCAATTGGTTTTCTCATATATTTTTAGGACTGCCTAAGCATATTTTATACAGTAAGTAGAGAATGAGAAGTTTATTATATTTGGAATGGTAGGGGAGGAGTGTCAGAGCAACCTGTTTGGTATGCTTTTCATATTATGTAGAGAGATGCTTAAATATCTATAAATCTTATCATTATTTAACAAAAACGGAAAATAACGACGAACGAGTTGAAGTTTGCAGTCCCCAAATAGCTTAAGCTGCACTTTGTGTATTCATCACAGTTGTGTGTTTGCACGAAATATAAGTATATACTTAAGTAGAGAATGCAGAAAGGACGCAATGTTGAAAAAATGCCAATTTTGGCTTTTAGAATGACTTTTTGAAAACTTATATTTTGATGCGTTTTGATCCCCACTTTTTTTTTTGGACCCATTTTTAATGATTTAAATTTTAAATCGTCTAAACTCCGAGAAAAATTCTTAAATTTATCAATATTCGTGAAATATGATTATATTAGAAATATGGGAGCAGCAGGGGGAGGGAGAAGGGAGGGAAACTATGTTATCGAAGTTAGTTTTTCAATCATATTTATATTTTAATGCATTGTAATATTTAACGAGCACGAAAAATGATTTTTTGTTAAAAATACATGATTTCACAGTTTAACTTTTTATAGTGTCCCATATAAAAGAGTTTTTTTCGTATTTTTAGACATTTAAAAATTGTTTTGTGTAAATAATTGGTACCCAGCAAGCAAAATCCGCGCAATATATCAAATTGACGACAAATACTCAAAAGTTACTAGCAAATTGGCATCAGTTACATTCGCATTAGGCTTGTGATTTGCCGGCAGAGCCTGCTCATAAAATCTGAAAGATCATCTCTTATCTATCTGATTTATCTATCTCTGAATTTTACATATTTATATATTTCCAATAATTTATTAGCGTTTCTGTCGAGAGATATGTTTTTACGTGTGAAGACATGTTTTTACATGCAGGTAACACATTTCTACGTGTCCGATTTTTCGATACTCTTATATCAAATGTCATCATTAGATGACAAGATCCACTTTACTGAATCGGTAACAAAATCTGAAAATATCGCCTCCTTATAGAGTTTGTAATTTACTCAAAAAGTCTCCTCGGAATGGTTAAAGCTTTAATTTCCTATTTTAAATCTTCTAATCTAAATATTTGAACACAATTTTGCTTTCTTTTATCTCCTTTCTTCTTTCATATTTTCCTTTTTCTCTTTTATCTCTAAATAATGATATTTAGAGATAATAAGTAAGGTATGATAATGATATCATACCTTACTTATTCTCCTTTTTTCTACAAGAGAAAGAAGAAAGAAGAAAAGTAACAATAATTCTTCAAAGTTGATGAACTTTCTCATCTAACAAGAAAGTTTATTGTTGTTTACTAATCTATCTATTGATGGCCGGTTTATTTTGACCCATCATTCATTAAGGTCAGTCCAAGCCAATAAAACTCGAAGAAGAAGAAGAAGATCATCCCTTCAAGAAAACATCTTGAGGATTGACTTATTGCTCCCTATATTCGTGATTTCAGCGAATGGGAATTACAATCGTTTTTTACGAAACTCATTAGAGATTATACTTGATCATCATGAATATGATTTTTTTGAAAGCCTTCTTTTCCGCGATATAATCTGATATTTTTAAAATGCATGAACAAAGATAAATAAGATAGTCTCGGAAAGAAATTATTTCAGAAAAATTTCTATTCTGCATATGATAACATTTTACGAACATTAATCAATTTTAAGACTTTCTCTCCAAGATTTAAATCATTAGAAATGGATTCAATAATAAAAGGAAATATAAATATATATAAAGATCAAAACATATTAAAATATGGATTTTGGAGACAAAAATTGGCACTTTTTTAATATCATTCTTTATAATTATTTGATATAACCGGCGTTGTGTGTGACTGGCAATGCTTAAGTAAGCATGGAAAATTAGTTGTACTACTTATTGTTATATGCATTTATAAGAGAGTATATGTTGCAAAATATAACTCTTTAAGTATACACAAAAATATTCAATTTTTATAATTATCGTTGAAAAAACACTGTTGTTATTGTGTTCTATTATTTTGATTTGCAGGCGAGAAACCATTGGTCGAATGCAGTTTTATAACGGAGTTTGAAGATCACATATTTGTTACCGTTGACGCTGAAGCCTTTTTCTTTCTACATGATCTCATTACATCATATGTAAAAGAAAAGGAAA